GATTATGCTAAGTGAAATAAGTCAAGCAGAGAAAGTCAATTATCATATGGTTTCACTTATTTGTGGAGCATAAGGAATAGCATGGAGGACATTAGCAGAAGGAAGGGAAAAATGAAGCGGGGGGACATCGGAGAGAGAGAGAGATGAACCATGAGAGACCATGGACTCTGAGAAACAAACAGGGTTTGCGGGGGGGGAGGGGGTTTGGTTAGCCCAGTGATGCGTTTTAAGGAGGGCACATACTGCATGGAGCACTGGGTGTTATATGAAAACAATGGATCATGGATCAACACATCAAAAACTAATGATGTATTGTATGGTGACTAACATAACATAATAAAATTAAAAAAAAAAGTTCAGTTATGCAAGAAGACTAAGTTATGAAGATCTAACATACAGCAATCTGAGTAGAGTTAATAATACTATATTGTCTACTAGAAACTTGCCAAGAGGCAAATTTTAAGTGTTCTCACCACAAAGAAAACAAAGGTAACTAGGCCAGGTCATGGATATGTTAATTAGCTTGATTGTGGCAAGTGCCTCACCATGTGTACATATATCAAAATATCAAGTTGTACAGCTACAATATATAATTTTAATTTGTCATTATACATCAGTAAAGATGGAAAAAATGCACAAAAGCCATAAAGAGACACTTTCCCAAGGATACACAGATGGCACAGGAGCATTAGAAATATTTAACATCATTAGCCATTAAGGAAATGCAAATTAAGACCATGATGAGCTACCACTATATACCCATTACAACCAGTATTACAAATACTAGGAAAAATAGGGAGTAACTGGATTTCTCATACACTGCTGGTGCAAATGGAAAATGGTGCAGCCATTCTGAAAAAGTTTGGCAGTTTCTTAAAGAGTGAAACGTATACTTACCATACAACCCCAATCATACTCCTAGGCATTTCTCCCAGAGAATAATAATTTACGTTCATAAAAAAACTTTGACATGAATGTTCATAGCAGCTTTATTTATAATAGCCCCTAAGTAGAAACAACCAAAATGTCCTCCAACAGGTGAATGGCTAAATAAATGTTCTATTCACACAGTGGGATACTAGGTAAAACGAAGAGTGGATTAGTGGTTGGTAGAGATTAGGGATAGAGTGGGAGAGGGGATGGGTATGATTATAAAGAGGTAGCATGAAAGAAATCTTTGGGGCGATAAGACAGTTCTATATCTTAATTGTTGTGGTGATTACACAGATCTCCACATGAGATAAAATGGTGTAGAGCTATTCATACACACTGTACCAATGTCTATTTACTGGCATTGATATATTACAGTTATGCAAGATATAAGCATTGGGGGAAACTTTTGAAGAATAAAACTGTGCCAATTACCATCATTAAAAAGTTTCTTCCAAAGTATATGTAAAATAATAATTGGAAAACATTTTCTTCTTAAAAGGGCAAGACAAAGATAGAGGAAAAAAGCTTGCAAAATATATATTAGACAAAGGTCCGAACTTCTAAGAAGATGGAAAACCCCAAAAAACTAAACTAAAAAAATGGAGCTGAAAATGTGATCACTCCATTAAAGGAGGTTATTACTGGTAAAAAAAAAAAAAAAAAGCCCATGAAAAGAGGTTCCAAATTGTTAATCATCAGGGAAATACAAATTAAAGCACCATAAGATATAACTAGGTCCTAACTAGAATGGTTAAAAATAATAAGACTTATCAAACCAAATGTTGGTAACCAGAGAGCAATGAGAACCCTCAGACATTGCGCACAGGCATGAAAAACAGTAGAGCCAACTTAGAAACATTTGGCAGTTTCTTATCAAGTTACATATAAACTTACCAGAAGACCCAGCAAACCCACTCCTAGGTATTTACACAAGGGAAATGAAAACATGTTGATACAAAGACTTGTATAAATGTTCATAGCAGTTTTATTCATAATAGCCCCAAACTGGAACAAAGCCCATGGATCTATCAACTGAAAGGATGAGACACACACATCCATGAGTCTCAAAAGCATTTATGCTAAGTGAAAGAAGCCAGACAAAAGAGAGTATATACTTTATGGTTCTGTTTATACAAAATTTGAGAAAAGGCAAAGTGCTTGCATTAGAAAGCATATCAGTGAAATAGACAGTTAGGGATGGAGGTAGGGGACTCACCACAAAGGGGTACAAGAATCTTTCAGTGGTGATGGAAACATTCCAAATTACGAGTTTGATGATGAAAATCTACTACATAATTTTTCAACACTCACTGACTTATATACTGAAAAGTCCTGAGTTTTATTTTCTGTTAAACACACCTCAACAAAAGTGATTAACATTTTAAAAAGAAAACAGAAAAATCAGAATATGCAGTCAAGAGGGAGTCATGTGGTAAGGTCTGCTCACCCACTGAGACGAGGTGGCTGTAGTTCTCCAGCATCACATCTCTGTACAGAGTCCTCTGAGCAGAGTCCATCTGCCTCCACTCCTCCTGGGTGAACTCCACAGTCACATCCTTGAATGACACTGTTGCCTGCAACAGCACAATTCTGATCAATCTGAGGGCCAGAATCAGGGACATGGAAACAATTTTTGGAAACTAAGTCTTACTATGTTTACCAGTTAGAGTTTAAAAAAAATGCTATAAAGGATGACTATCACGGCCCTAACTCTGTCTTATACTTTGGGGATAGGCACACAATTAGTTAAAAAAAAAAAAAAATTCTCATGCTCTGACTTATTTATATTTATTTTTAATTTATACACATATATTGTCAATATAATGAGAACACTTAGTGCCTTATTTTTTAAGGTAAAGTTATTATAAATAGGATTCCTGTATACATTTCCCATACACCAACAGATTATGCTGAGCACTTGGTACAGTATACACATATCAATCTGGAGATCTCTGCTGGGGTAATAGAGAACTAATGAAGAGATACATGTAAGACTGGGGAAGTATTTACACACCACCAGATTCATATTTCAGGACCAATGCTTTAGAACAGGATTTCTTTAATTTGGCACTACTAACACTGTGGAACAGATAATGCTATTTTTGTGAAAGACTGTCCTGTGTATTTTAGGATATATATATATCAATATCTCTGTCTTCTACTGATTAGATGCCAGCAACATCCCAGTTGTGACAATCAAAAATACCTCCAAACATTGCCAAATGTCTCCTGGGGAGCAAAATCATCTCCAGTTAGGAATCATTGCTCTGTATAAAAGGTGGACAATATCTTAAGCAGCAAGACAAAATACCCAATTTAAGAAATGGCTTATACTAAAGCAAAGATAAACAATGGGAAATTAATCCTTATAGGAAACAAAATCTGCTCATTATTTTCCTGTGTGCCTATATACAGAGATGCTCATAAGCAACTGGGTAAATACGGATGCCATATGCAGAGATTAGAAGAATTAAGTATAAGTCAGAGGTTGGGTCATTGTGAGGTGGATGTTCTTCGTTTGCACTCAAAATACCTGTAGAAAATATAGACGGAATTATTTATTTCATTGTTGGTTGCATGACTTTGGAACAGACAGAGGTCTAAAACGAAAATAAGGAATTAGGAGATATCAGTCATTAAGATGGCTAACTGAAGTCATCAGAAAAAAAGGGATGGCTCAAAAAGGACAGAGAAACAGGAGAGAAAAGGACCAAGTAGAGAATTCAAGGGAATAGCAAAATTTCAGGCAGGTAGAAAAAGAAAGGCCATGAAGACTGAGAAAGAATTCTGAAATGGTAGAAAGAAAAATTGGAAAGATTAGAGTACTGGAAATTAAGAGGAAGGAGAATTAAAAGCATGATTCCTCTAGTTCAATGGAATAGATTGAGCATACACATTTACCTCCCTGCCTTTGAAAACACACTCAGGTAAAATACGAAACCTACTATAAAATATGACAAAAGAGGAATACAGAGAAACATCCCAGCAGAAGGCCCCCAAATTTGAACAAATTCTGGAAGACAGAGGGTAAGATAGTATTAGATAAGTAAAACATGAGAATGTTGGCCACACTTTAATACAAACATAGATGTGGGCAGAAGGAGCAGGGAAGTGATGAAAGTCTAAAAAGACATCCAACCTTAAACTGAACAGGACCTAGAACCAAGTGTGTAATAGAAAGAATGAGTAACACAGTAAATTTCCTATTTGAATACAAGTGACATCATTCAAATGCGTGAGAAAAGTCTGGACACAAAAATGTCACAGGGTAACTAGATGGCCACCTGGGAAAAGACTGTTTCTTGTACCACAGAGCAGGATAAAAATTAAAATGTATTCAAAATCTAACTGTAAAAAACAAAATCAAATTTCAGAAGACTACACAGAACAATTATTTTACATTAGAGTGGGAAATGCCCAATTATGACTGAAAATCCAGGAACATTAATGAAAAAACTCCTAGATTTGACATAAAAATCAAATGCTTTGGGGTGCCTGGGTGGCTCAGTCAGTTAAGTGTCTGTCTTCGGCTCAGGTCGTGATCCCAGCATCTTGGGATCGAGCCTGACTGGGCTCCCTGCTCAGTGGGGAGCCTGCTTTTCCTTCTCCCTCTGCCCCTCCCTGCTGCTCGTGCACACTCACTCTCTCACTCTCTTACACATGCTGTCTCTCTCTCTCAAATAAATAAATAAAATCTTTAAAAAAAATCAAATGCCTTTATGACCAAAAAAAAAAAAAAAAAAATCACAAGCCAGGCAAAATTACAAAAACCTTTAGGGAAACTCTGCAATGTATATCACAGAGAAAGGGCTAGAATGTTATAGTGGATACAGTAATTAAAATCAGTACATCAATAGGAAAACAGGTAAGGGATGAACAGTTCAACAAAAAAAGAAATATAGATTAATTACAAACAAAAAAGGATGTTCCACACCTCACTCATGAGAAAAGCTTATAAAACTAAACTGAGATTAATCACATTGGTAAAAATTCAAAATTTGACAGCATGCTCTATTTGCAAGGTTGTAGAAAAGAAACACACACTCTCAGATTGCTGGCTCTACCTTAAATCACATCCAGAGTTTGACCACTTCAAAGCAACCAACACAATTATGATCATAATTTCTTGCTAGGATTATAGAAACAGACTCCAATATTGTTCCTGCTTCTAGTCTAGGGTCTATCTTCAGACAGTAGACAGTGTTATTCTTGAAAACTGTAGTCAAAACTATCCTTTTGTGTCAAACCCCAAATCCTCGAAACCCTCCATATCACCTAAGTGAATGGAGAGAGGTACTGTATTCATTAATTGGAAGACTCATTATGATCAAGATGTTAATTCTTCCCAAGTTGATCTCTACATTATAGATTCTATGGATTCAGTGCAATCAAAATCAAAATCTCAGCAGGCTTTTTTGAGACAGAGAGGAAGATTTTCAAAACTTTCTATAAAGAAGCAAAGGACCTAGAATATCCAAAATAATTTTAAAAAAGAACAAAGTTGGAAGACTCACATTATCTGATTTCAAGAGTTACTGTAAAGAGACACTCATCAAGATAGTGTCTGGTATTAGCAAACGGATTAACACCAGTTATCAGAAGTGAACAGAGTCCAGAAACAGACCCTACATGCATTACTAATTGGTTTCCCATGGAGATGACAATGCAATTAATGGACAAAGTATATTTTTGTCAACAAATGGTGCTGACAGGTGGGCAGGTAAAGGTAGAGAGCCCAAATATGACAAGTATATGTCCCTCAATTCCCAACAGAGTCCACTGCCTGCACAGAATATTAAGACCCTCAGACCCTGAAATTCTAGGTTTCAGATTGGGCCAACTAGAACATATTTTGTCCTTTTCGGATTAGCAGCCTTTATGCTAAAATAAAACTTAAAAGCTGATCAAAAAAGGAATTACTGTTATAACATATAAAGACTTTGAAATCCTAAGACAATGCTATTAACAAATTCATGAAAATACATTTAAAAATGTAAATAAAATGAACAATTTTCCATGAAAATGTAATATCAAAAGTTATAGTAAGAAAAATATAGGGGTGCCTGGGTGGCTCAGTCAATTAAGAAGCTGAGTCTTGATTTCGGCTCAGGTTATGATCTTAGTGTCATGGAATCAAGCTCTACATCGAGCTCTGTGCTCTGCAGGTTCTCTGCTTTGCCCCTCCCCCCATGCTTTCTTTCTCTCTCTGTCAAATAAATAAATCTGCAAATAAAAGAAAAAAATACAAATCCAATATAGGCTTATGACTAATAAGTTAACAACCAGACTCTTCACGCTAAAGTCTTCTAAAGGTCTAAATCTATAAGTAAATTTCACAAGAATCCTCATGAAATACAATTTTCTCATCTAAATTGCTAGAAAAGGAGCAGAAAAGTTCTCCATTTACTTTCATAAAACTATGACCATGATACCATACTTGGACAGAGAAACAAGAAAGTATAGTCTAATCCAACTTCTGGATACAGAAATATAAACCCTGAATAAAGTATTAGCAAAAGGCCTGAAGAAAATCTGTAAGAAGCAACTTACCACACTTATTAGCAACTAGGGTGTATACAGGAATTCAAATTAATATTAGAAAATATGTTACACTGTTTACAGTGTTCACAGATGAAAGGATGAAAGGAAATAAGCTCTAGTTTTATTCTCTTGTGTATGGACACAAGAGACAATCAATAATTCAATGCACATTCATGACTAACATGAAATCTCAGCAACCTGGTACATGGAGGGAACCTAACCCTACTCTAAGAAAGGTTACCTACCAAAAGCTGAAAGAAAACATCACAGCTGATAGTCAAACTGTATATTTTTGCTCAAGATTGATGTTTCTAGTTGTTCTTTTCCATTTAATCCATGGATCCTTCTAAACCTCATAAATCCATTACAATACTAAGAGGGGAATAAATGAAGAGCTCACCTGAGGAGTGTTCATTTCCTGTGGCTCTTGGGAGAGTGTAGAGAACTGTGGTTGAGCTGAGGGGACAGAAAGAAGACAGGGGTCACGAGATCTGGCCTATCTTACAGCTCCTGCACTCACCTCCCCAAATCTCAGCACCCCAGTGTTGGATCATCCACCCTCCTCATAGGCATGGGACCCTCTGGACCTTGAAAAGGAATGAGAAGGAGCATGTACAGGCAGCACCACCTGTCTGGTGTGACTCTGAAATGATCATGGGCTTAAATCTGCAGTTTTTTACTGAGTAAACATAAAATTTTCTTGACTGATTTAACAATAATGCATGTGTCCTTGTGACTAACACAAAGCAACAGATTAGTTGAATTAGAGTACGCCAAAGGATGAGACACTATTCTTTCAGTAAAATTACCTTAGCAGACAAACGCTCAGCAATCATCATTTACATATTTTTCTCAGTAATATTATTTACCCCCCCGGTACAGAAATCCATGGGAAACCTAGTAAAAGAGATGGGATGCTTCAAGACAGGAATTTTTAATTGTTTTAGCGGTGATGTATTTTTCAAAAGGCCCCTTTGATAAGATGCTTTTGGTGACTTACCTGGAAGAGAGTAAGCTCCACTCTTTTCCTCCTAAATCTCTCACAAACTGGGTTTTACCAAGAAAGTCATTGAACCTTTCCGGTTCACTGAAGCTTTCGAAAGAGAAGTAGATGACCTTGGAAAACACTTCCCTTCTCAGCATTCTGGAATCCTGTGAGGTCAGGATAATGTCCCTAGTGTCACATGTGGGGATGGAGAGGTGGGACAGCAGTGCAACATCTATAGAGTGGGGGCCATTTAAGAGGAGTGGAGACAGAATTTCCTCCCTCTGCCTGGTTATCCCCTACCCCCAAACCTTGCTGTCACAAGCTCTCCAAGAAGTGGCCTTTCCTGAGCAGCCTGCCCCTGGACCACCCCAGCTCACTTCACTCTTCTCAAGGCTGGCCCCAACCCCCGTCACACAGTGTGGTTTATCACTAAGTCTAGCTTATTCTGGGTAAGGGGACCAGGAACTGCTTCTGACCTTACAAATCTAGGATCTGCTCCTTTCTGGGCCCTTCTGTCTCTTCTCTAAAGCTCTGGAGAAAGGTCTAAGGTCAGAGGGGTGCTCTCTTCCAGGTAAGACTCCTATTCACAGAGGTCCCCTTCTTCCTACCTCGCAGGGGTTTACTTTGTTTCAAGGCAATTGGGACATGGACCTAAAAATTCATTTCAGGGGCAAAACCAAGAGTCTTGGAATTTATTATAGTATCACACTTAAAAGACAGCCTGACAACACAGAAGGGGCCAGGAACCTCTGTTCGACCCAAGGGACCTGAAGACACACTAAAAATACCAGAGTAAATTTGATATATGGTCGGATTCCATCTACATTCACCTTCCCTTATATCCTTGGGGATCTGGGGACAGGCCACTGCTAAGTGCTGTGAACGCTGCAATGCTGGTTTCAGGCAGGGGTGATATTTAGACAATGCCTGCGATTGGAAGTAAAGCACACTTGCCCTTGAATCCAAACTCCCTCACTGCTAGCTTGTGACCTGGGCACATCATTCCACCAACCTGAATCTGGGTTGTTTTTTAATTTTTGTTTGTTTTTTATTTGTTTTAAGTGGTTGTGAGGTTATGTTAAACCATCCAATAAAAACAACAGCGTCTTCTAACTATAAGAGCAGTTGTCATTTACGCAGGGCATGATGCCCGGCACTTGTCTAAATACTTTACAAGTGATGACTTAGACCTAAGTTTCAAAACAACCCCATGGAACAGTCATATTAATATAATTTTGAGATGAGAAACCCGACTCTTACCCAGGTTCCTTCTATCGCCTCTGCTGGAATTTACCCGGGCCTTTTCTGGCTCCCGAGCTCAGGCTCTCACCGCACTCACGGTCACCATCAGCGTTTTAAACGCACTTTGCCTCCCGCCGCCACTAAGTCGGGCTGCAGGAGTGTCCAACCACACCGTCCCTACACACCCAGGACCGCACCGAGCCCCTACTCAAGACCAGGCTCAGCCCCACCTGCGCGCCCGGCGCCAGAAGGCCGGGGTTCTCCTCCTACCTCCCGCAACACCCCCACCGGCCTTCTGTCGGTCGAGGGCTGGCCGGGGCGCCTACCAGGGTATCCCAAAGACTTCCTGCTCCCGTCCTTACACACAAGCGCGCCCCTCCCATAGAGAGCTCCCCTGCACTCTCACCCCAGGTGCGCATCCTTTACTTTCGAGTAGAGTAGACCCAAGGGCTCTCAAACAGCTTTCCTGCAGTCCAGAAAAGACGAATGAGGAGGCGGAGCTACAGCTGCCCTTGCGCAAAAGGAGCCCCGAATTCCCTTCCCAGAGTGCCACGCGGCGAAGCTAAGAATACAGGACTACATTTCCCGTAGATCTCCGCGGCCACTTTTCATGTCGCACTTTTGGCATTTCCGTGTTTTAGAGAACTAGAGGCTGCTGGTTTTTGTTTTGTTTTGTTTTTTGTTTTTAAGATGTTTTATTTATTTATTTGACACAGAGAGAGAGAGACAGAGAGACAGAGAGCAAGCACCAGCAGGGGGAATGGCAGGCAGCGGAGAAGCAGGCTCTCTGCTGAGCAAGGAGCCCCATGAGGAACTCAATCCCGGGACCCCGGGATTATGACCTGAGCCAAAGGCAGCCGCTTAACCGACCGAGCCACCCAGATGCCCTAGAGGCTGCTGTTCTTAAAACTCTCCCGCCCAGGTTCTCTCCAGGCCGGAAGAGATTAAGGGTGAAATTTGAACTCTCCTGCAAAATGCAAAGGGTGCTCCTCTATTGGCTCTCTATTGAAATAGCATTTCCCCTCTTAGGTTATTTGGAGACAATGGGAAAACTTGAATACGGATCAGATATTGAAAATACTAAAATTACGGTTACTTAGGTGAAGTGTGAAAAAATTGAAGTTATGCAGGAAAAATGATTTTGTAAAAAAAAAGGCATGATGACTGAGGTATTTAGGATTGAAATGATAAAGCTATAAAATTATAATCATAATTTTTCAACCTGAGACTTCCACCCTGTCCCTTTACAGCCACCAGACCCACCGACCCCTGAGCTCCGACCTGGTGCCCTTGGAGCCCAGCGTGGAGCTTCTACTGGGGTCAGGACAGGTGCTGTAGGTGTGGATGTATATAGGATGTTTCTTGATGAATTATCTTTTTCAATAAATTTTTATGTTAGTTATCTTGGATTTCCATGTGCATACTAACAAGTTTGCTTGTTTTTTGCTGACATTTATAATTCTTTGTCATTCTCTAAGGAATTACAAATAAAAGCACAAAATGGGTCAAACTATATTAAATCCATCATAATCGACTTTAACATAATGATCACTAATGGAGGAAAAGTAGTTATTACATATGTTCATTTAAGAAACATTTATTGAAAACCTGCTGTGCAAGAGACATTCTATATGCTGGATTAGAAATATCAGATAAAAGATCAAATTCCCTATCCCCATGGACTTTATGATCAGAGTTGTTTTGTGGACCTATTAGGATCCCCGCAAGAAACAGGTGTCAATTGTCAAGAAATAAAAGGACCCTGAGGAGAGTCTAATAAATAGGGCTCTAAAAACATGGGTAGGGTTGGTAAATCATCTTATAACTCATGATGATAAGGAGGCATTATCACCACCAGGCTCACAGTGAATATAGGTAATGTTACCAGAACCTGGCAGAAAAAGCTACCCTTATGAGAGCAGTGGCCTTAGGAAGAGAAACATAATGGCCGTTAATTACATGGCTCCGCACAAAGAGCCAAAGGAATAAATACCCAAACCTCACTTGTACTCTTCCCTCTAATGTCCTATCCTCAGTTAAGCATTTATAAACCTCATTTAATACCTGTTCTTAGAATTCCATCCACATATATCTCCTCCAGACCTTTTTGTCATCAAATTTCCAGTCTTATTCTTATCTATCCCCCTACTACTCAACAACTCATTGAACTATTGGACATGAATCAACACAAAACTCAAGACATGTCTCTTCTTCACAAAGTGAACAATTAAATAAAACTCCTCAAAACTCTGCCCACTGGGAGGATTTCTTTTCCATACATTTCAGAACCACCCCTAAGTGAGACTGCAATTGCAGCATCCATAACTTCCCATGATGACACTATACACTGAAGATTCGAGTTGAAGGAGATTCGACTGGCTTCCTTGGAGACTTTTGGGGAATGATTAATTGTATATACTGATGACTAAGCGTGAGGGATTTTGTCAAAGGGACCCAGTCTGCCCTTCAGTCAAAGCCTCCTGTCTTTAAAGTAGGATATACCAAGGAATGGAAAGAGGATCTGAAGCCCTGTTATAATGACGTGTTAATTTTCTGCCCATGAGACCCAGAATTTCATATATAGATATACATCTTAAGAAGTATTGTAGGAGGGTGTCCATCTACTTCATTTTGATGGACTTCACGATCAAAGAGCCACCACTGCAGATCCCTTCAGGTCACTAAAAAAGATGAGTGCACATGAGAATGACTCAGAGAATTTTAAAAAAATATTTGTCAGGATCCCATTAGAGAAACACAAACATATCTCAAATATATAGTGGGATGGGTTCCAGACTACCACAATAAAGTGAATATTGCACTAAAATGAATCAAATGAAATTTTTTGGTTTCCCAATGCATATAATAGTTATGCTTATACTATATTGTTGTTTACTAAGTGTGCAATAGCATCATGTGTTAAAAACAATGTCATGTCTTAGTTAAAAATACTTTATCGATAAAAGATTTGTCCTCTGAACTTTTAGCAACTCATAATCACTGATCACAGATCACCATAACAAATATAATAATAAAGTTTGAAATATTGTGAAAATTACCAAAAGGTGACCCAGAAACATGAAGTGAGCAGGTGATGTCAGAAAAACGGTGTCAATAGACTTGCTTGATTGTGCTTTTGCACTTTTACAATTTGAAACCTTCAATTTGTAAACTGATTTATGACAAATTAAAACCTTCAATTTGTAAAGAAAAATCCACCACAATATCTGCAAAGCAAAATAAAATGAAGTGCAATACCTACTGGGTATTTACTACAAAGATACAAAGGTAGGGATCTGAAGGGGTACGTGCACCCCAATGTTTATAGCAGCAATGTCCACAATAGCCAAACTGTGGAAAGAGCCAAGATGTCCATCGACAGATGAATGGATAAAGAAGATGTGGTATATATATACAATGGAATATTATGCATCCATCAAAAGGAATGAGATCTTGCCATTTGCAATGACGTGGATAGAACTGGAGGGTGTTATGCTGAGTGAAATAAGTCAATCAGAGAAAGACATGTATCATATGACCTCACTGATATGAGGAATTCTTAATCTCAGGAAACAAACTGAGGGTTGCTGGAGTGGTGGGGGTGTGGAAGGGATGGAGTGGCTGGATGATAGACATTGGGGAGGGTATGTGCTATGGTGAGTGCTGTGAATTGTGCAAGACTGTTGAATCACAGATCTGTACCTCTGAAACAAATAATACAATATATGTTAAGAAAAAAAAGAAGAAGAAGAAGATAGCAGGAGGGGAAGAATGAAGGGGAGTAAATCGGAGGGGGAGATGAACCATGAGAGATGATGGACTCTGAAAAACAAACTGAGGGTTCTAGAGGGGAGGGGGGTGGGGGGATGGGTTAGCCTGGTGATGGGTATTAAAGAGGGCACGTTCTGCGTGG